CCCCCCCCCCCGCACTCTCGTTAGACCCTAGTAAGGGAGGGACCATTAGACAAGATAATTTGTTCATTTTGTGTGTATGTATATTCGTGAAAGAAAAACTCTTATGAAAAAAAAAAATGCACGCCAAGTAGCTCTAAAAGAATATTCTTGCTCTGGCCTAAAAAAATAATTCATGCAATAAAAGAAAAAAAGAAAACAAAGTCATGCAGCTCCAAGATTTCCCACCCCTCCCCCGATAACTTTTCTTATGCTTCGTCTCTAACGAGGCTAGCGACGCAAATCCAGTTTCGGGATCCTTCGCCTTCAACTCTCGATCCATGGACGAAATAATTTGAGGTTCGAGTTTGACTGGACGTTCCGCGGCTTCGGCAGTATACGGAATTTAATTTTAATCGACAGATCGAGTAAAACATGACTTCAGAGCATTTCTGTCACTTCGATCTACCGCACTCCGGAAAATTCTTCAAAATGTAAAAAAAAAAATGAAATATTCAGGCCAATACTACCTCAGTAGCACCTCCTCTTACCATTGCACTTTTTGCTTCTCTGAAACTGAAATTACACCCCTTTTTTTCTTATTTCAATTTGATATTTCGCCGCTTTCCACTTTTTTCCTCGAAAAAGCCCCAATGGAATCGGACCACGCTAGCCCCCCGCCCCCCTCCCCCTCCCCCGCCTACCCTCAAGGGTAAGTTTAGGTAGAGGTGTGCCCCGAGGCCTTCTTACGGCCTGACCCTGTTTTTAAACAACAAAAATCGTTCATTTTTCTACCCTGTTTAGAAAGGAAACCTTATTTTATAACCCTTGTATACCCATTTCGTTTCGCATAATGCGGTCACGGTATTAGATGTTTTGGGACGCAAACTCCCTTTTCATGTCTAACTACTAATCCCTGTGAATGCAATCAAGTATTGGGCAAGCTGCTCAATAAACAGGGATTTGTTGTCGTTATTCAGACAGGATTAAGCCTTTACTCTTAGACACGTTAAGACGAGATTATTTAACGTGAACGACATCTCATTTTGTTTCTAGCAACATGTCAACTTCGTTCCTCATTTGCAGAACTTTTATCATCGATAGTGATTTAGTAAACTAGTTTCAGACTAGGATTTCGTTGCTGTTTTTGATTTTTTCGTTTAAACTTTTGGTTTCGCTCCTATTATAAGGGTTAATGCTATTGGTTAGAATCACACTAGGTGTTCCACAGAGCGGCGAGCAGCCAGCAACCTGTTAAACTGCAAGCAGTCTTTTATTTTTCTTTTGAGTCACAGGAAAGAAGGACGATCGATTCACGCTCGCGGTCTAGCGATACGTGCAAACACCAAATAAAGGATTGGCATTAAAGTCAATTTGCCGACTACCTAGGTGTGGCTTGTAAATGAAAGAAACTTAAATATCATGGTTAAAACTGAAAGTCATGAAATGGTATCAAAAGAAAGATCTCTTGTTTTAGGAAGTGGTCATCTCCATTAAGGTGTAAACGTTCCTGTTATGACGTGGCGCTAGAAACTCAGTGTAAAGCAGGCATATCGTGAAAATTGCCCTTAGAGCGGATCGGCTTAATTAAGATCTTAGGTCGGCTCTTTCTTTTGTCAGAGTTCTGATTAAATTCGGTCCTCAACAAAGGCAATAATCACTCCAAAACTGTCGCCCAAGATCAAGAACACACGACCCTTACTAGGGTTAGCTGTTACACGCGTCTCCTGCAGCAATCTGCGTTAAAAAAGGCTGGTAGTTCAAAAGCAAAACTGGGTACATGACAAACCAAACATTTTTTTTTAATAAGAAAAAAGAAAAGAATTAGAATAGTTTTAAAAAAGCCGATTAACTCGCACCAAATTGACGAAAGATTGACTCGTAGCGCTAGGCATAAGGATAATAATTTCTCTGGGCGAATAAGATCGGTTCAAATGATCCTGTATACGCTAGATTTGGTTACATTTAAAAGGACTGCAGGATTGGAGCAACTTAGTTTCAGTTCAACACAAAAGAAGAAAGCTAGGCTCTACAGATTCCCAATCTAAGTAAGGAGACATAACCAACAATTCCTAACTCAAAACTATATGTTAACTTTTTTTTTTTTTCAAATCTTGTTTCGGCCGCTCTAGGGAACAAAGTGAGGCTAGTCGGTCGTGGAAGAATGAATCGTTTAAGAAAAATGAACAAGACAACGAGTACATCATGTGTCACCCAACACTTCATTTATTTATTATCTTTATTTAATTTTTATTACTTTCTTTCAATCGCTATAAACAAAGCACTTCTCTGAATGTTTTTTCCTCCGTTACCATGGTCTCCACACCGATGAGTCGAAGTTTGTCGAGGTGTTTGGTAGTGTGAAGGGCACAAGTTGTACGGCATCATTTGAAAGGATAAGCGCTGGGATTCCATTGCTGAGAACAAACGGAGGCATCGAGGACGGCATCGTGGGTGGAAAAGGCAGGAGTTTTCTTTCTTGGTTATGAAGAGGCGATGACGGCGGCGATGGGAACTTACTCGTGGCGCATAAATTGTTGTCTGTCAGCGCTACGTTCGCCGCGCCGGCTGCTGGGGAAATGGCGGGAAAACTCGACAGCGGTGTGTGGTTTTGCGGTTGACGAGTGAGAAGCACCTCGCTGGGGGGTTGGTGATGATGTTCTTTGGGATTCTGGCAGGAGGATGCCAAGTGTGATAAAAGCTGAGTGCGAACTGGAACACTGATACTGTCGGCTGTTATAAGAAATTGAGACACTTTGGTGGCACATTCGTTGAATCCAGCACGATATTTTGCCATAGCAGCCTCATCTGTAACGGAAGAGAAAAGAAATCAATTGATTAAATGATGATGTGATAGGTATAATATTTCACGGTCTTGACACATCAATGCTCTTGACATCCAGGGGACTAAGCTATTCATTCCACGCCGGCCCAGACAACAACCGTTCCGCGAGATGGTCTTCGCATTACTGAATTCGAAGTCTATGGAATGTCGTTGCAGCTATATGAACGGTTCTTCTTGGCAGCTCTTCGTGCTATATATTTACACTATCAGCCATGCCACAAAACCAAATAACAATAAGGACTTCATGTATATTCTTAAGTTTGGAAACTATAGGAAGTCAAGTTAAAGGTTAAGTAAGGGATATTTAGATAAATCGCTGTAGTCAAAACATAATTATTAATTTGTGCTCCTAACAAAATGAAAAATGCAACATGTAAAACGTGTCATAAAAACGTCTTTCATTTCACGAGTAAAAACTGAAAAAAGCTGCCGGTAATTTCCTTTTCTGTGGATAGAAAAACAACAATGCAAGATTTTAAAACACTTTTTGCGGCGATGTTGGTTTTGTTAATGATTTGTTGCCTGTAAAACATTCTTCCATTTAGCTTTTGATCTTCACACTTTATTTGGAGCTGAAAGGTATAATTTAAAGATTGTTATCATCGCCAAACAAAGGCCAAGACAATTTACAACACGCTACTGTCTTATCCGTTTGGCGTTGAAAGGCCATTAGAACTTCATTAATAAGAAGGTGGTTTGTAAAAATAAGAAGTCAGTTCTAGAGTGCGAAAATTCTCTCAGCGCAAATCTACATTTCTTTATGTTGTATGTTTATGACAGAAAAAAAAAAGAATACAATATTACCACATACTGCGAGTAAAAACAAGGCAATTTACGCCAAACGGATCACTGACAACGCTATCCTGACCATTGGATCGTGAAGGTGATAGAGTGACTGTGAATCAATATATTTATTTTTCTATACCTTGTTGTTGCATGAGAAACGGGGGCCTCTCTGTGTTGAGAGAACGCAAGTATTTTACAGTCATCTCCAATATGTCAGCCTTCTCCATCTTGGAGTACCTAGAAGCCTAAAAAAGCAGACATAATCCTGAATCAAATTGCCCAAACGAGAGGAAAAATATTTCTTCCTTGAATTGGAAGTTCCACGACCCCTTGAACGGGTCATTTCTATGGTATGTACCCTGAAACCTCCTCTCCTACACGACAACTAAAGCCCGACTCGACAGGAGGTTTAAAATGAAATTCCCATAGTGGAATGATAAAAGAAGAAAATACACTGTAATAATATCACCATAGACGGTGTTCTCCTTGCTACCATTTGAGATAAATATCTAATTAGCTAGCCTCTTTGGACCCGAATTCCCGCGTTATCGAATTTAAGGCACATTTACCAGTAAAGCAAATATGTAAATATCCAACTTTTCTCTAAACCAATGGTTTACAACCCTTCACACTACACAGCAATTGTCACTTACGTCCTTTTTCATTGCCTCCAACACCAGACATTTTAGCTCATTTAAACTGTCGTTAATTCTAGCCCGTCGCATCTTCTCCATTAATGGTTTCTTGGACTAGAGAGAGAAAGAGAAGGAAAAATAATAAAATTAATATTATCAATAAAAAAATAAAGTTTTATTATAAAGTAATTGTTTTCATTCTTCCATGTAACCCGTTCAAAAGTATTTCCCTCCTTCGATAACGTTTATTTCCCTCTAAGCAAAAAAATAATAATAACAAAGCGAGAAAAAAAAATCCAGTTTTATCAACAGCTTTAACGTTTTATCTCCCTGGAATTATCTCGAAACTATGTTTTAAAAGAACATAAAACATGTCTAATAATGATAAATCTTCTGTCGAAAGGAAAGAAAGTCTCATTTTTTAAAAAACATAATGTAGCCCAAATACCTTTTTCATCTCCTTTTTCGAGTTTCTTTGAGATGCAAGAGAAGTTTTCAAAACGTCCATGATCGTTGCCAAGTGTACGCGTGCTGTGCGTTCATATGTGTGAGAGTAGAACACTTTGGCACGCTTCAATCCGACCTTGGGCCATAATACCGGGAAACGGCGCGCGTCTGCTAATATTCTTTTTATAGTTCGCACCGTGGGAAAAATTCTTGGTCGTGTGTCGACCCTCGCACTTATTTGCAAACATCTATTCATACGCAGTCGCCGGAACGGTAAACAAAGAAGCACTGATTTCGGACCGTGGGAATGCTCCGCAATGATTGGCTAACGGCTCGAGAGGTCGATGGGGTTAAGTTGTATGACAGGCACTTGAGCTTTACTGGTGCGTTCAGGGCGTGAGAACGTTGCTGCGCGATTGGTTTGAGCGTTTCAATGGTTTCCTGCAATTAACAAGTCGCACGACTAACTTTGTGAGGCTTTAGGCAAAGCTCGCGACGACAACGCGCGCGACACGTTCGCAGGTTCTCGTCTTCACCGACCGCCAACGACGCTTTTCACACAAGTGGTTTTGATATTCTTCTGAAAGTGTGCGTTTTCTTTTTGTGCTCGGCTTCAAACGTGTTGTTTCTTTAACACAGTAGCCGCATTTTGCTCTTGAATGATACTGTAAACATTGTCGTTAATTCGAACCTGCCTCCACGTGCTGCGTAGGTTAAGAATCCTATTATGAGAGTTGTTTTCATAAGATTTTAGTTGCCATTGTGAGATTGTTTGGTCGAGACACAAAAGAACAGGAGTACAAAATAAAGCGTCGGAATTTTCCCACGATGGAATTTTAGCTCTTTCACAAACGGTTTGTTCTTTTAAGCTATGTAACAGAAACCGGATGTAGTGTTATAGTGTGTCTCAGTAAAGCCGGCACAATGGCTAATATATATACTCACCGCGTTTGCTTATAGGAACGCGGAGAATATATAGTTTTCATCAGCAAATGACTTCTTCCTGTTTGGTGTGAAACCACGAGAAATCTAGGCGTATTAGAGCCTGATATTGGTCAACATATTAGACAATACTGGCCCATATTGCCCAACATATGGCACCACTGCCGCCACTAAGACACTTATATTCCCACCTCGCATGTATTTACATATCCTACATAAAAATCTGTTCTAATTTTAATAACACTGTTTTATAAATTTCTGTAAAGCATGATTTGCGCAAGACTAGTCTCCATGAATTGAGTGGACTTGTGGGTGGTCCGAAAAACAGTTTTGTGAACACGATCCGATCACCCACTTAGTCTATCCCACCCCCTCTATGTACACCCGAAAACAATTACATATACTGTATTTGTTTGCGCTTTTGGGGTAGGAGAGGGCCTCTCTCCTGTCCCTCCATCGTTCAAAAACCTGATGTCTAGATTCCTAGCGTTAAATATTTCTCCCATCGATAAACAGGGCTTAAAGTCTGGAATCTTCGCGTGAAATTGGACAACACGTTCCCAGAACCGACCAGAACTATCAATACCGGTAATGTTCTTTAAGTTAAATACTTTAATCGGCTTTTGATGGTGGCTGAGATAACCGGAATTCTTGTGGTATTGCCGCGTGCCATGCATACGCCGTTAATTAGCATTGAGTTATGGATTCCCGGGGCAGGGGTACTCAAGGGAAGTTTAGGTATAAGTGTGCCGCTGAGTCCTTCAAACCCTCACCCCCCCCCCCCCCGGGGGGGGG